TATTTTACAATTACGATGTGATTAATAAGAATATTATTATTATTAAAATAAAAAGGATTAATTAAAAGACTTAATCACGTGATTCTCGATAAGTCGGTTTTCTCGATAAGTCGGCCATTAGAGGTCAAACCCAGTTGGCCGACTTATCGAGTTTCACTGTGTATTACGTATTATGCGGATACGGATTACCAATAAAGGAATTATGTCAAACCGTTTGACAACTTGCGGGCGCCTCTCGATCAACCCTAATCGCAATAAACTCGGGTGACGTTTCTTTCGATATTATGACACAACGGTTGGACAGATGCAAAATTATAACATTACGCAAATATCAGTACCATTATCTTGCTATGGTCACGAAGTGGAAGATGTTAAGCGAATACAGTTCAAATATTCTGTTTATTATATGAAATTTGTAATATTGCAATAAAGGTCTGTCATTTGTTTGTATAGTCAATCGGTCTCTCCCCTACGAGAATCCCGTCTAATTATAAAAGAGATGAGCAACAAAGTTGAAGATATAGGGAATAGATAAATTATCACGGGGTATATAGCATCCAGAAAGTTCTATGTAGCTGTGCTGTTATCTAGATACACTGTTCGGGAGCGATGGTTATGCACTTATGGTGTGATCGTAATCGATTGTAGGAACAACTGAAGACATAAACTTCAAAAATATAATCAAATACCTACAAAAAAGAAAAAGTATTAATAACACAGCAGACAATGCGCATCGTTTTCAACATCCTAGACATCCATGTTACTTACTGATCAACTCTAACTTGTGCTTGCTCAGCTTGTGACGCGCCGTTGCCGTTTCCTGGAGTGTTAACGCCGCTCGAAGCTGGCAACTGCGCTTGATATTTTTCGAATTTCTTGATGCTCTCATCGTTCATCTTTTCGATAATCTTCTTCATTACTTGTGCATGTCGACATGGATGAATGCTCGCCAGGGACATGTTTAGGTGAGGATGCGTCTCGATGGTTACTGTCTTCTTGGCATAGTCTTGAGAGACATCTTCGAATATCTGAACTGATGTTAATGGGCGACGATGCTAGATAAGCAGCGTGAGGTGTCAGACAGAGTATATAGGGAAAGATAAAAGAAACGTGGAAAACTAGACCCAGAAAAACCATACCTCGTCATAGCCGAAAAGCCACATACGAGGCGTTTGATAATACTTGTCATACGTAATAAACACATCATACGTTCGTACTTGAAGAATCTTGTCACTAGAGATATTAATATGAATAAAATATGTGTAAATTAGGCAAAAAAAGAAAGAAAGAAAAGCAAGCAAATACTACAAAGCATACCTTAGCCCGTCATCATGAGACGAAGATGGAACATGGCTTGAAGCGGATACTGCGGCCTAATTACCAATTATCAATAACAATGACAATGGGTCAATATTAAAATTATGCGTATATCATTATGCCAAAAAAATAATCGAATCTTCCTATTACTGACCGGATCCTCTTCTTCAACAACATTGTCAGCAATATCATCCATATCAGGAATGTCTTCCATATCCGGAATATTATCTTCTTCCTTCTCACGCGCTTCTTCCACGTTGATTTGACTTAATCTTTTCGCAATAACTTCTTCATCTTCGCCCTCGCCCTCGATAGCTTGTATGACTTCAATGTTGGTCGTAACGATTACTATTGTAATACGTAAATTATTTAGCAGTATTAGACGATATATGTAAACTATTGGCAGTCATTGTTTTCGAGTAAACGGACTTGCACTATGGCATTCAAAAATTCCAAATTCGATCTCAATCTCACACCTTACCACGACCACTATGGGTAGCCACCCATGCTTCTTCCCCGTTTTCAGTCTCTATCTGAGTTTCTGCATCTTCGTCAATATATTCCATCTGCTTGACGCGTCGAAGGCATGGGACTAACATAATTCAGAAATGAGAGTTAGAAACGAGATAAAAATGAGCGGAGAATAAACGGTCGGCTGCTGGTGACAAAATACCATTTCTCGTAATAAGAAATTGCTTTTCTGGTGGCAAATAGTCTCTCCTCTTGCTTTCTTCACCGCTCTCCCTAGCAAACAACACATCACAATCTCGAATCGTAATCCATGTCTCGTTCAAAGTGTCAACGACCCAACCTTATTCCGTCCGACAACAACTCACCAGTTCCAGGTTGGACATTTGTACACTAGGAAATCACCCGCAGCTACAAACTACGACATAAATAAGCCTTCGCATGAACACAAAAGTAACCTTCTTTAAAGATCTCATAACAAACAGAAAGGGAGGGCTATAGTATGCCTACAAATTATCCAACCTCTTCAGGTGTAATGCAACCCGTCTCTTTGAACTTGGAATTTTTCAATACGGGAGAAAGATATTCGCGAATGCCGAAGAAGAGGGTCTGTACTGAGTTCATGTTTAGCAAGCTACGTAAATGGTTACAGAGGATATGATTTGTCTGTAGAGTATAAATTTAGATTGTAGCTGGTCAAAGGATGAAGGATCAAATATCAAGGAATACAATCAAGTGATATAAAGAATGTGCATACGTTTGGTGGGAAACTTTACTGCGTCTGTGCGACATAGGTCATATGGCAAAGTCGATCGGCAAATACAAAGCGCTCGATTACTGGATTTCCACACGTTTGAAGAAACGCTTAGGTCCGGAAGAACGTTGGCATTACCGTATTGGCTTCATCCGATAGGTGGGAGGTGATTCTGTGAGAACGAATGACATTGAGTGGCGACTGCATGATGACTGCGTACGTAGTTGCTGAACGATAATAAACATGCGCCTCCGACCGCTGGAAACTTCAATATATTATTCTTTTGTATGCATTGCAGAATGCTTTGATGAATACCTATTCGGAAAAGTCATTCATAGTAAGAAACGGAGATGATATGTTAATTGATAACAAGTCTTTTGCTCATAATAAAATTGTCGTACTTGATAGATCTCTCTTAATAGCTCAAGCAAGTACTCATTCGTTATATCCAAGATTATAATTTAGGTCTAGTCGAGAATATGGTCCCTCAAAAAGCTCCGAAAGCTAGTATTTAACGCAGACCGTCCAAGGTTACACCCTCTCGCAAGTTTTTTTTTTTTTTTTTTTGGCTGCATGCTTCTCGATTGGACGCAGTCTTTGATGAGAAACATGATAAAAGGGATATAGCAGTTCGAAACTCTATGCTAACCATCGGCGTGTCGATTCGATGGCAAAAGGTAAATTCTTTAAATGGTTAAATGTCATTACTATAATACTCTGTTTGACAGATGCTATAGATAGCGGTTTCGTGCGAAGATTATGGGGTGTGCAATGAAAACCCCAACCAGAGCCACGTGTTCCAAACAAATCTTGTGACCCCAAACAAAATCCCCGGTTATGTGCAAAAAATTGGTGGCACAAGGCGTTAGTAAATTAAAGCTAATTTTTGGCTGAAGGACAGTATTTCTGAACAAAACTGGAAATCCAATTTCGATCATTATGTAAATGAACTGTTTGAAACATCGGATTTTTTTTTCATAATAAATTGAAATCATCCCGAGTATGGTGATGTAAATATGCTTTTTTACTTACATATTAATATGCTGCATTTCAAACTGTTTCGGGCAACTGTACGCAATTTAAGCAGACATGAATGATTCTAATGGTTTAATATATACTATAAGATTCACAACCATAAACTATTCGACGTAAAGTGGGCAGAATTTCGTTGAGTAATGCTATCAAAACTATTTCGGTTTACTTAAATTAACGTTAGTCAGATCGTTCGTGCTACTCCATCTTTACTTAGGCATTTACGTAAAGATTTATATATTAGGCAATTCAAAATCCGATAGGTGGAAACTCATGACATCAACTAACAATTTGCTCGAAAAAATAAACACTTGTTGAAGGATAATTGGCGACTTCGTAGAACACTGAAAAGTATAAAAAGACGCAACTGAAAACAAGTCGGAAAAAGGTTCGACCAGAATAAATAAATAAAAAAAAAAGCCATGGACGCTGTACATGCTAAAAGTGCGAAAGAACTACTCGAACACTTTAAGGTCGACCCTGAGACTGGGCTAACAAAAGATCAAGTAGAAGAGGGTTACAAAATCCACGGTCGAAATGGTAAACATCATGTTTGTTTTTGCGATATTTATCGTTCCTAGATCACACAACTATGAGGTTCCGTTGACTCGAAACATTCGTTAGTCGTAAAGGTCAAGGCATATAGAATCCATTTATGCGCATTACGTAATCACTCTAATCCGCCTGATCTAATTAATCGTTCAAATTTTCTACGTTGATTATCCTAACCAGAACTTCCCCCTGACGAGCCGACACCGCTATGGAAACTGGTGTTGGAACAGTTTACAGATCAATTGGTTATCATACTACTCGCATCCGCGGCCGTCTCCTTTGTTCTTGCGTTATTGGAGGAAGATGACGAAAAGGGCACAGCATTCGTTGAACCAGTAGTCATATTGTTGATCTTGATAGCGAACGCTGTAGTTGGGGTTGTTCAGGAGACTAACGCTGAAAAGGCAATAGAAGTAAGTTGACCATCCTTTCTCTAATAGAAGCATTGATAATCCTTTGCTCTGATTTTGCTTATTAATCAATCCCATCTTATCAATAAATGTGTATCGTAGGCATTGAAGGAGTACGCTCCAGACGAAACAAAAGTGTGGCGTGGTGGCTATTTAGTAAAAATAAAAGCATCCGAGCTTGTCCCAGGAGATATAATTGAAGTAGCAGTTGGAGATAAAATTCCTGCTGATGCTAGACTGTTGAAGATCCATTCTTCTACATTTAGAGTTGACCAGGCGCTTCTTACTGGCGAAAGTGTTAGCGTGAATAAAGACACTACGGCAGTGGATGACTTGCGAGCTGTTTTGCAAGATCAGACCAATATTATATTTTCGGTAATTATTTGTCCGCTATGTTTTCTTGATAGACGCTGATACTCGGAATGGTTATTTTTTGTCGAATTTATGTGGACATTTTATTTAAAAAGTTTATGGGAGATGGATCATTCTCTTTTATGATTATCATGATTAGCTTGTTGCCAATTATATCCAGTCTTATTTCTCAAATACTTTATAAAGTTTTTAATCTGTCATGATTTTGTACAAGTAGGGTACAGCAGTCGTTTCGGGAAAAGCTCGCGCTATAGTAGTACGAACTGGTACCAACACTGCTATTGGTGACATACATAAAAGTATTTCTGATCAAGATTCCGAAAAGACGCCGTTAAAGAAACAGCTCGACGATTTTGGAGAAATGCTTGCGAAGGTATACCGTTATTGTCTCCTATAGTTGAAAGGCAACGTAATAGTATATCTAAAAAACTTGCCGAAAAATTTTTTGTCGACTCACGTGTGACTTTGTTGTTTTTCTTTAGGTCATTTCCGTAATCTGCATTCTAGTCTGGATCATTAATATAAACCATTTCAATGATCCCAGTCATCATGGATGGCTCAAAGGCGCGATTTATTACTTTAAGATAGCCGTGGCGCTTGCCGTGGCTGCTATTCCAGAAGGGCTTGCTGTAGTAATTACGACCTGCCTAGCATTGGGAACTAAGAAAATGGCCAAGAAACATGCTATAGTGCGATCATTACCTTCTGTAGAGACATTGGGATGCACAAGTGTTATCTGTTCGGATAAAACAGGCACATTGACAACCAATCAGATGAGCGTGTCAAGGGTATGTTTGTGGAAACAAGCAGTGAGGGGAAGGGGTAGGCTTTGTGAAATCAAGCATAACATCTTTAATGCTGTTATAGGTGGTCGTTGTTGAAAATGACAGGGCCGAACTGGAAGAGTTTTACGTAAATGGCACAAGTTACGCGCCTGTTGGGGACATAACGTAAGAAAAGTGTCCGTTTTATAACAAACTGGTACTCCAAACGTTCTTGATGCGTCTAATAATTCTATATCAACTTTTATTAGAACTCCGGATGGTAAAATACTAAGTTCACTGCCGGCTAAAAAACCAACAATAAACGAACTGGCTCAAATATGTGCATTATGCAATGATTCTCGTATCTTATGCGAAGAGGTTATTACTATTGTCATTTAGAATTCTTTCAATATGACAGTCGTCTCATAACTCGTCACATTTATTTTAGGGATCATTGGTACATCACAATATCGGGGAACCGACTGAAGCTGCGCTAAAAGTACTTGTAGAAAAATTTGGCACCGATGACACGTTATTTAATGCATCGCTTATGACTTGTTCGCCAAAAGAACGCGCGACTGCATGCAGCGACTATTATGAGAAAAAATCGAACCGGGTATGTCTTTCAACATTGAAAAACTCTTCTCCGCTTGCTCAGATTTTTAAATTCTTGTTTTCCATTTCAAATGCAGATTGTAACACTCGAATTCACAAGGGATCGGAAATCCATGTCAGTTCTTGTTAGTCAACCATCAGTATCAGACACTAGTGCAAAACTTCTCGTCAAAGGTGCACCAGAGTCTATTCTTGACAGGTGTACTCACGTTATGACTTCCTCTTCAGTTGTCCCGGTTCCTATGACATCCCAACTTCGCTCCCAACTAGACAAAAAATTATACGAATACGGTCGACAAGGATTACGTGTATTAGGAATGGCCGTGAGATACAATCTAAACCCGTCGGATTTCAGCGTTTTGCCGAATTTGATTACCTATGAGCAGAACATGACTTTTGTTGGTCTTGTTGGCATGTTGGACCCACCTCGCCCCGAAGTTATTGATGCCATTAAGAAATGCGAGACTGCCGGTATTCGAGTTATTGTGATTACCGGAGACAATAAGGAGACTGCCGAGTCTATATGTAGAAAGATTGGAATATTTGGTGACGACGAAAATTTAAGTGGAAAATCGTATACCGGTCGAGAGTTTGACGAATTATCAACAGAGCAGAAAATCGAAGCTGTAAGAAGAGCTAGTTTATTCTCGAGAACCGAACCAGCACATAAGAGTCAGCTTGTAGATTTACTAAAAAGTCAAGGAGAAGTTGTTGCAATGGTACGTGAAGAATCAAATAGTTTGTTTATTTATAATGTAGATAAAGTTCCTTGTTTTAATTTGCCATGTCGGATATTGTACATGTCCTGTAAATACAGACAGGTGACGGCGTAAACGATGCACCAGCTCTGAAGAAAGCGGACATTGGCATAGCAATGGGCTCCGGTACGGATGTAGCTAAATTGGCAGCAGATATGGTTCTTGCTGATGATAATTTTGCTACAATTGAGCAAGCTGTAGAAGAAGGTCGTTCAATTTACAATAACACCAAGCAATTCATAAGATATCTAATTAGTTCAAACATTGGAGAAGTCGTTAGGTATGTTACGTGGTTATGTCACGTGATAATAATAATATTTGATCATTATAACCAGACTAATATTAAAACATGCTTTTTTTTTTTGTGACTCTCTAATATAGTATCTTTTTGACCGTGATCCTTGGCATGCCTGAAGCTTTGATTCCTGTACAATTACTTTGGGTGAATCTGGTAACGGACGGCCTTCCTGCTACTGCTCTCGGGTTTAATCCACCAGACCACGATATCATGCGTCTTCCTCCCCGTAAGGGTAAAGAACCATTAGTTGGCGAGTGGTTGTTTTTGCGATATTTAATAGTTGGAATGTATGTTGGCATGGCAACTGTTTTTGGATACGCTTGGTGGTTCATGTACTATTCTGGTGGACCACAAATCAGTTATTACCAACTGGTACGTAATTATCTATTTCCAGTTGGAAAAGGTGGGGGGGGGGGGGTGTTTTGCAATTCATCTCGAATATTATTATTAACTTGCTATTATCTTTACGTTGTTAACCTTTTTTCATTAGACTCACTTTCACAAGTGTGAAAGCCTATTTCCCGAGATCGGTTGCCAGATGTTTGTTAACGAGATGGCCCACCGAGCTACTACAATGTCGCTGTCGATTCTGGTGACAATAGAGATGTTCAATGCGATGAATTCGTTAAGTGAAAATGAGAGCTTGCTGACACTGCCACTTTGGAATAATATGTACCTTGTACTGTCAATTATACTCTCAATGGTGTTGCACTTTGTGATTTTATATGTGCCTCTGTTCACGGTAGGTTATAGGTGAAAAAACGGTACTGCATCAGACTTGATTATGGGGAATTCACTAATTTTTTTCTTAAATACATCTTTTATAGACATTGTTTGACATTATGCCACTCAATCTTGCAGAGTGGGAAGCGGTGTTGATTATTTCATTGCCTGTAATTTTTATTGATGAGGTGCTCAAGTACATAACTAGAACCTGCATTAGTAAGTAATTTCTATATATTGTGGCAGGCGAATATCTTTTTTTCCCTCAGTCCATATGCTAACCCATATTTCATCTCATAGATCCACCAGCAAAAATCAAGAAAGAATAGGCGATGAGGGAAATCTCGTTAGTTATCAAGATATTAAAGAGTAGAACGTAGACTTGTGCTAAATTTATTATACATTTAATCTTATAAAATGTGGAGAGTGTTCTAATGAAAAGATTCGCTAATCGTAATTTGACGCTTAATATTACGCGTGTCCCACATCATATTGCCCAATGTAAACGCGTATTACGCGTGTCTCGCAAGATAATACCCTGAATGTAAGCCCTATATCAATACGTACATCAACTTGAGACTAAAATATGATTTTAATCACACGTATTCATGCTATCAAACGATGTACTTTATGTAGACATTATGCTAGAATATAACAATGAGGAAGGCGAGCCTTCTGTTAAAACGCTATGAATAGCCATGCTAAATTAAAATGGGAAACACGTTCTTGTTGATCTCTACTTTTTGGTATAAATATGCATATACGCGTTGGTCAGACTTTGTGGTATCAGGACACTTTTTGACGCATCTTGCACATTTCAAATGAACAGATTATGCAAATATACTAGACAAGCGTGATGATGATGAAAAGCCTATAAGCATTGAAAATATTTCTTGCTTTACGATAGTCTCTTTCACACTACCAATACACGCTCAAAATTTAAAGATGTCTGCTTTGCATGAGGCACATCTGTTAAGATGAGTCTTTTGATCAATATGAAGAATCACCACTTACACTGCTAGGTTTATAAGCAAAATATGGCACTGGCAGAATTTGGATTTAAATATTGTCTTCACATTTAACGTTAAATAATACGCTCCAAAGTGAAAGTCTTTCGGGCTGAATTGGATCAAGACGCCAATTCTTTGGCTCAGACAAAGCCAATTATAATATGCCGAGAATGATAATGCTTTCAGAGTTGAAATGTGGTGAGACAAGTAGAGGAGCTTATGGAAGAAAAACATGTGAATTTGACAACAAGCGTCCGCGCCCGCGAAAGAGACAAGTCCGCCGTCGCCGAGCCAAAAATCCGCCCGCGAGAGAGAGAAGTCTTTCGCGTTGATTAGAATTCTCAGAATATTATTTTTTAACTATGTATTTATTTGCATAGTACATTGATTGCAAATAGCAATTTACATATTTAAAAAGTTGAGAAAGCCAATAACCTTTTAAAGACTTATCTACGACTTGGAAGGACCCTATAGCTAGTCAAGTGATTAGCGATGAAATCAAACTTTGCCAGGCGAACAAAAACAAGACGTTTGAAATAAATTCTTAAAGGAGATCAATATATTTTTTGGACGAAGCATAAAATAGAGCATGAACGGCGATAGTTACAAGAAGAGATCAAATTACCGACGGAAAGAAGAAAAATTAATAATCAAGTCTTCCGGAATATATGAAAATACCGTAGACGCTGGCTAAAGTACCCCGGCACCCTCTACAGTAACAACAGTGCCTCCTCAGGCGCCAACAACAGTGCCTCCTCAGGCGCCAACAACAGTGCCTTCTCCGGCATCAACAACAGTGCCTTCTCCGGCATCAACAACAGTGCCTTCTCCGGCATCAACAACAGTGCCTTCTCCGGGTATTTTACTCACACATTTTAGAGGTACACCCATGGTAATTTTAGGTAACGCATTCTACCGCAGGTCGTTTTCGTATCACTAAACAAATTCGCGGGCAAGAGAGAAACATATTGTCATTTATTACTGTTACAGTATTATCGTCATCACTCTATTCGAGAAACTGCGAGCAGGTTCGACATAGAACCAAAGCAAGTAAGAGACTGGATAAGTAAAAAATACTATACTATTACTATTACTATATTATTCAAATATTAAATACAGTCAACTGCCTATAATTCGACCCCCTTTAATTCGATTTTCCGATAATTCGAACGTTTAGAGCGGGACCCGATT